TCTCTCTCTCTCTCTCTCTCTCTCTCTCTCTCCACAATTACGACACGACTCGCCCATCGGATCGCACGACATATACCATACGCTCACGACATACGTAAAGCCAATTAATTTTTATCACTTACTCGTCGATTTTGGTGCCATTACACAAAACTATCACTTATTTATTTCGGTAATTATAACTTTGCGTTAATGATTTAATATATATTTACAACACATATAAAGAGAAATTCATACAATAATAATGTAAAATCGTTTTTCAGTACTAAATTTTTAACGAACCAATTGTTTAATAATTGATTGTTTGGACATTAAATATATTATCTCATTATAAAACTGATTCAATTAACCCCGAAATCCTTACGCACTGTACAGTATATTTACCCATATATAAGATCGTACACTATATAGCGTATGGATAAACATACAGACATAGAGTGTGTATTACATTAGGGTTAGTGGAGAACTCATTAGACTCTAATGCATTCTCTATTCCCAAATCACGGCCCCATAAATAACCAGACATTTAATGAACAAAATAGATATTTATTTTTTTCACTCTTAATAAAACTGTTTTACTTCACAGAAAATGCATAAATTTAAAGCTCATACTAAAGAATCCCACTATTATTTCCTTAGTAAACATACAGGTCTTAAGACTTTAGACTTATTATGAGAACTTAATTACATTAATGAGTTTAAATGTCAACCAAATTGTGCATGTATGAATACAAATGGCTAATTTACATATAGTAATTGTTGTCACAAAACATCTATTGTAAATATTAAATATTAGATGAGATTTAAATTTCCAAGGTTAATTATAATAAGAATCATGGTAAAAAATCACATAGAGGTTTTCACATCTACTGTAGTTTTACTATGATTTAACTATATTTTACTATTTCTAAACCAAGTGCTAAATAATTTAAGGAATTATTAGCCCAAAGCTCAAACTAATCAGACAATAAGTTTGAGTTCAGAATTGATAGCGTATTTAAACTCAAGAAAATCAAGAATTATATTGCGATACGAATTGGATTAATACTTAATACCGGTGTTAATAATTGAACTAATTTTGAACACTTCTTATTTGTCTTCCAATTAATAGTGTCATTGGTTTGCGATGTCTTCTGTTTGGTAAGTGTTTTCCACTTTCATTGTCACAAATCAATAATAATAAGTTTATTCCCCACTAATTAATACCACTAAATAAACCCCATTCAATGACAGTATTATCAAAATAAAATTGCAAACTCTTTCAACATGTGAATCGCATCACATGATAGCATATAATTAACAAAAATGAATTGTATTTAAATTGCAGTTACAATCCATTCATTTATTGTTGGCTGAACTCTACGTTCAGAAGTGGGGCGAAAAGGTTTTTCTCTTATCTGATTCGTTGCGATCTGAGGCCAGTCGTGAGCATATCGGAGGACAGGCGCCGATCCTCTGTCAACGACAATGAGACCAAATTGGATACTGTGGTCACGACCGCCACCACAACCATCAACAACAAGAAACTGTCGATTATGTCACTCCAGGAATCGCCCGATAATATCAATTCAAATGCTGTTAACGATAATCACAATATCGATGTCGAGCACGACGTCTAATATTAAATCGTATATTAATTGTGTGATTAATGTATTGATTCTTACCCATCATATTCTGTGGCTCTCTCTCTCTCTCTCTCT